GTCATGCAATTGTTCAGAAACTCCTGCCAGCTCCCAGGTGCCCATCACTGTTCTGTACCTTAGGGGAGAGTGAGGAACAGGTCAGGCAAAGCATCTGCCACCATGGCACTCACCTTGGAGAAAGCACAGACACAGGTTAGAGCCACAGCTGGGTAACAGGCCAGGGGTTCTCTGTGCTGGTTGAAGGGTCACAGAAGGCCTTCCCTCGGGGACAGTTGAGCTGAGGCTTAGAGGACATTTTGGGAACACATCCAGGCAGACGGAACAGCCAAAGCCAAGGCCTTGGGGGTGACCAAACAGTATGTATGAAGAACAGCATCAAACCCAGGATGGCTGGAATGGGGTGAGCAAGGGAGAGAACAGGAGATGAGGTAGGAGGAGAATGGGCCCTCTAGGCAGGATCTTATTACATCAAGGCATTTAGGCCAGGAAATATTTTTTCCTCAAGTAAAATCCCTGTTTGTGGTATTTGGGATACGACCAATATTGTCTGCTTCTCACAGCTTGTTCCTTCTGCCTTGCAGCCCAGAACTTGTAGGTAGGCCTGATCTCTGCCTAGACGCTCCCTCTACGCCCACCCAAGGTTCCCAGAGCAAGATTTGGTGTTCACAGACCCAGGAGACCACTTCATGGAATTACCTATCCTTCCACCCTTTATTAGTAAAGGCTTCCATTCTAAAAAAGAAATGCCTGGCTTACAGGAGTTCAAACTGTAGACATTTGTTCCTTGATTGTGCCATCATGGTCCTGGCTTCTTCCTCTCCCACCCGGAGTCACCTTTGACTTCCAGCTTAGGACCTCACATTTGCAACATGGCTGCTGTAGCATCCAGCATTACGTCCTCATTCAACCAGGAGCAAAGGCATGAAGTACAGATACCAGGGTAGCAGGAAGGAAGTACAGATTCTTCCCTAGAGGCCTCCTGTGATGGCTTATATCTAGATGTTCCCACAAAGCTTCTTGTACCTACTCTAATAGCTTCTTGTTCCCCCTTTGCGCCTTGTACCAGCCCTTGTGACTTCCCTGGTCCCTGCCTGCTCAGATGCTCACACGTGGGACTTTTGGGAGGTGACCAGATCATAGGTGTGTGATGCTGGATTAATCTACTGATGGGTTTACAGCTGGGTGTGATGCTGGGAGGTGAAGGCTGTGGGAGAAGGTGTGTCACTGGGCAAAGTTTGGATAGAAGGATAGGTAGATAGATATCCCTCCTCCTGCCTTGAGCAGTTGCTACTTCCTGCCTGCCATGGGTGAGCTCTTCTCAGCTGTACCACCCTGCCTTGGAGCCAGCCAACTGTGGCCTGACACCTCTGCCAACTGTGAGCTAAAAATAAACCTCTCCTTTAAATTGTGGGTGTTGGGTATTGTGTCTTAGCAACAAGGGAATTAATGAAGTCACCCCCCTTATAGACCCGTCTCAGGCACCAGAAATAGAGATTGCATCCATTCACTCTACCCTTTCCTGAGCATGCTGCTGCTGAAACAAAAATGGGTCCCCAGCAAGAAAGGAGCATTTAGAGGATCCAGCATGTCCACTACTTCCCTCTTCAAGTGCCGCACCTTTTCTTCTTTTCTCTTTTTTTCAATTTAATTTTCTTCTTTTCTTTTGAGACAGGGTCTCACTATATAGTTCAGGCTGGCCTCGAACTCATTATTGTAGCCCAGGCTGGCCTTGAACTTACAGCCATCTTCCTGCCCCAACCTCCCAAGGGCTGGAATTACAGGGTTGCCCCATCACGCCCAGTTCCAAGAACCGTGCTTTCAAGCTCTAGAAAAATTAGGCTGTCTTCCGACCAACCAGATGATCAGGAAATCACTGCTGATGGTGGACTGTGTGTGCATACAGCTTGTGAGTTGCCAGGGTCACAGCAGGAAGACATGGGTGGCCAGCTTATGTCAAGTACTCCAAAGAGAGGTTAACAAAGGAGTCCTTTAACCAGCTGGGTGTGGTAGCCAATGCCTGTACTCCCAGCATTTGTGATTCAAGGCCAGCCTGGGCTACATAATGAATTCAAACCCAGCCTGAACTACACAAGACCCTGTCACAAAAAACCAAACCAAAGCAGCAGGCAGGGACCAGGGAAGCCATAAGGGCTAGTACAGTCCCCCGGACTGCTACCTGAGGGGAGCTCGTACTACACCCAAGCACAAGGTGCAAAGAGGTTGTCATCAGGACGCGAAGGATAGCCACACAGCAGGAATGTAGTTTTGCCAAGGAGTAGGGGGTTGAAACTCTTCACAGGCAAACAGCAGCCAACTCTCACCAACCTCGGTTTTTATTAGATACGTGCACAATACTTCCATGAGAATAAATAGTTCCTTACAGATTATCTCTAGCAAAGCATGAGAAAATATTTTTTATGAACACCTGGTTCTAGTTACTCATATACTTTCTCAAAACAGACTGTTCTCAGAATATTATCGGATGGTTCTCAGGACTGTTTGCAGCCTTGAACTTCTGAGTTGTGGCTCCGTGTGTGGAACCACAACTGCAGTTCCTATTCCAATCTGTGTCCCAATGTAACCCCCTCCTCTACACAGAGGGGGAACAAGAAGCCAGAATCTGTAGGCCTGGCAATTCCACAGGGGGAGCCAGCATCCTGACCTTACTCTCCAACAGTGCAATTCTCCTCTACAGAGGGGGAACAAGAAGCCAGAATCTGTAGGCCTGGCAATTCCACAGGGGGAGCCAGCATCCTGACCTTACTCTCCAACAGTGCACCCCATTGTCTGAGGCCTACAGGAAGCCACAGCACTTGGAAGCCCAGGTGAAACAGTCCACCAGTCGACAGTAATAGGACCTAGTTGCCCCAGGAGACATGGTGGACACAGGCCACCTTCAAAGGAAAACAAGATGGCTCTCCCCCACCTTTGCTGGCTCATCCTTCATTGCTCTGACCCTGTGCCCCACGTTGACCCTTGATGTCCCTTTAACAGAAACTGTTAAGACAACTTCCAGATACAGGGCTGCCAGACCTGCATCAGGCACAATGGTCTTGGCCACGTGAAATCCAGCAGTTGTGATTTAGAGACAGGACTTAAAGCCCTATTTCACAGGCAAATCAGCTGAGGCCTGTGTCTTGCCAAGGCAAGTAACCCTCAGCTTTTTTTTTCTTCTTCGTCGGTGGTACTCAGGCTTGAACTCAAAATCTTTGCACTGACCTACATTCCCAGCCCCTATTTATTTATAAGGCAGGTTCTCACTAGCACTTGTGATCCTCCTACCTCAGCCTCCCAGAGTGCTGGGATCAAAGGCATGCACGACTCCACTTGGCACCCTCAAGACTTTCTAATGCCCACCTCTTAACCCCATTTATATGTGTGCCCCATGCTAAGCACTCTGCGTGTGATCTATGGGGATTTTCAATACAAACTGTAACAGGGAGACTCCTTGGTTCCATTTTTCAGATCAAGAAGCTAGCTCAGTGAGAAGTGACTTGCCCAGGCCCTACAGAGATACAATGCTGAAGTTCGGTGCAGACAGCTGCCCTTGCTTCCCCAAATGATCAGCAAGCCTAACTGATGTGAAAAAATACTCCTCTAACCAGGCGTGATGGCACACGCCTGCAATTCCAGCACTCTAGCAGGCTGAGGCAGGAGGATTACAAATCCTGGCCCAGCCTGGGCAATTTAGCAATTTAGCAATACACTGTTTCAAGACACAAAGGGAGGGCCTGGGAATGTAGGTCATCGTGAAGGCTCTGAGTTTAATCCCCAGCACTGAAAATAACAAAAAACCATCACCACCAATCTTGGGCAGGGGATTTGGCTCAGTGGTTCTGCTGCCTGCCTTGCAAGTGCAAGGACCCAAGTTCGATCCCTGGTACCAAAAAAAAAAAAAGTATAAAAAACTATCACCACCAAGCCTTTGTAATGAATGTTCCCTCTGCCTGGAGCACTCTCTCTCCCACCTGAACCCTTTCTTTCAGGGGTCCTATCCACTCCTTGAACCCCTCTACTGGATCAGGAGCCTCTTCTGGCCACCAGAGCCCCTTGGGTTTCTTGATCACTCTGGGATGCCACTGCTCTCTACCCCATGGACGTTAAATGTTCATTTTCAGGGCTGGGCTAGAATTAGAGCTGAGAAAACTGTTGGGTAAATGACAGAAGGTAACTGCATGGAGAGAGTTCAAAATTCGTATCCCCTGAGCTGGGGATTTAGCTCAGTGGTTCCATTGCCTGAATTGCAAGTGTAGGGCCCCGAGTTTGATCTCCGGTACAAAAAAAAAAATCTTATCCCCCGTTTCAGAGGTCAGACAAAGACCAATCTAGAACTAGCCAGATTGCTGGGGAAGAGTCCTGGTCTGTGTCAGACGATCCCCTTTGGTTTCCAGACTGTGGGAAGTGGTGTCTCGGGCAGTCACTAAGGGCTGGACTGATAAACCAGTTTTCAAATATGTAATAAGAATGAATAGTGCTTTTGACTAGATCAGCTTTGAGCATCTGAGGATCAGAGGTACAGACTCCTACCTGAAGGTGCACAGCCTGGATCCTTTTGCCCTTAACTGTCCACTCTGCTGTCCTCCCTGCATCCTCTGAAACAGGACAATCAGAGCTGTTCCCTCCCCACTTCCTCAGACAGCTGCTGTGATTTGAATAACCAAGTATGCTTATCGATGTCCGGTGGCGACTGATTTGCCTGGCAAACAGACCCTCAGGTCTTTCTCCCTGCCAGTGCTGGGTCCATGTTTCTTTCCTGTCCCGAAACCTGAGAACTGCCTAGATTCTTGTCCCCTTCCTTGACCCCACTGGGGGTCCTAGTGCTTGTGGGTTCCTGAAGTCTGCAGAGTTCCAAATCAAGACTGGTCTCAGAGGGGCAGGATGAATACCAGGCCCAGCTCAGCTCCCTGAGCTCCTCACAGAATTTGCATGAAGAGAACGAGGCTCCTCCATGGGTTCCCCCTCCCTTCCTACCTGAGACAGTTGTCCTAGGTGTGAGGTCTGAAAGCAGTTGGAAGAGCCAGCTCTGTGTGCGGAGCCATCTCACCACTGCTGAGGTGATGCCCCGTGTCTTCCTGGTCAGGAGTCGGCGTCCACAGCCACCCAACTGGGGCCACTTGCCTGACCAACTCCGGGGAGATGCCTATATCCCAGGTGGGCCCCTCACTGGGCATGGAGGTATGGGGCAGGGGAGAGGCAAGGAAGATATCACCTGTGTGGCTTCTCTCCGCAGACTGCAGCAGCCTGGTAGGACCAGGAGCACACCAGTCGTCCAGCCTTGGGGACCCTTGGGCAGCGGTGAGTCTGCAGCTGGCTCACAAGAGCAAGTTGTTTCATCCCTGCCCAGTCACAGCACTGGAACCTGTTTCTCTCAGCTAGGAATGCTTTCCTTCCCTTGCAGTGAGCTGTCAGGTTTCAGATCCTGAATTCCCAGGGTGGGCAGCTGTAAGTCCTGCCCCATTATGTCCAGTGGGGCAGAGAGGGATTCCAGCCAACAAGTGGATGATGTGCTTTGTTAACACTGGACAAGGGAACAGAGCAGGCTGGAGAGTGAGGGATAGGAAACCTCCAAAAGGGCTAATTTCCACTGCATGCATTGGAAGAACAAAGGCACTTTGGAATGAAAGTGTGCTCAAGGTTATTTCAGTATTTATTGAGAAACAGGCACCATTCTGGGTACTGGATGTTTAAAGGAAGTAAGACTAAAATTACCCCTTTATAGAACTTATTCCTGGAAGGGGCTGGAGGTATAGAAAATAAAATTAGGACAGTGTGTTAAGAAAGTGTTGGAGGGGGCCAGGGATTTAGCTCGGTGGTGCCACTGCCTGCCTTGAAAGTGCAAGGTCCTGAGTTTGAATCCAGATACCAAAAATAAAACAAAACAACAAAAAGATTGGGCTTCCCAAAGGGAAGAGCTTGGGGAGAGGGTAGCAGGCTGTTTAGTCACAGGCTGTTTTCCTGGTCCTCCCTGTATACCGATACTCTGTAAACACTTGTGAGAACAGTTTGCAAAGTAACAAAGCCTGGGCAGAGGGTCCAGTGGGAGGAGCTAATTCCTGGATCCCTCTAGCAGCCCACACAGGGAACCCTGGCATCTGCTCCCAGGAGCCCCGGAAAACTTGGCTGCCCTCTCTGCCCCAAGGCCTTTCCACTGCAGCGCATGCTAACCCGGCACCTCAAGTGCCACAGCCCAGCGCGCCGCCACGTGTGCTGCTGCTGTGGCAAGGGCTTTCACGATGCCTTCGATCTCAAGCGCCACATGAGGACTCACACTGGTGAGCTATGTCAGGAACAGAAGGGGCTGCTGGGCCCCAGGGAGGGATGGTGATAACATGAAATGGAGGAAGGTACGCACAATACAGTTGCCATTGTGTGTATATGGGGCAGGGAAGCAGCAAACAGGAGGCCTGAGATATGGTGTGACTCACACTCCTGCAGGTGGGTGTAACACAACACCAAGGTAGGCGCCTGGCAAGGGTGCTGGTTCAGAATTCATTCCCAAGCTCAAGGACGCTAAGGATCATCTCCTTCCCTGCCCCTCTTCCAAGAGGAAGGAAATTCCTGATGAAGGACTAGTAGAGACACAGGGGTCTGAGCCATGTTTGCATTCTGTGAGAGTAGCAGGTGATGGATCATAGAAGAGACTGATGAGCTTGGAACAGGAACAGGAAATGTTCACTGCTGGAAAGCAAGGTGAGGAGTCTTTAGTCCAGAAGCCATTGCTCTCTCCATCCCTTCTCTGTACCTTATTTTTGCAGGAATTCGGCCATTCCGCTGCGCAGCTTGTGGGAAAGCTTTTACACAGCGTTGCTCCCTCGAAGCACATCTTGCAAAAGTGCACGGGCAGCCAGCCAGCTATGCTTATCGGGAGCGCCGCGAAAAGCTGCATGTGTGTGAGGACTGTGGCTTCACCAGCTCTCGCCCAGATGCCTACGCACAGCACCGCACTATGCATCGTGCTCCTTGAAACAGGGCACCAGCATCCTACCCATGAGGCAAATAAACACAAGAAACATGCACACAGAACCTGGCATTTATTACAGGTAGAGGAGGGACGGGTCACTCGGTCCAGCGGTGGCCGCAGTGTGGGGCAGTGCATACATAGTACAGGCGCATGGCGTCCTGGCGAAAAAGATACAGGGTCAGAAAGGTCTGGACCCAAGTGACAGTACAGTATAGGACCCTCCACCCACTGGGACCTCACTCCAAGAGATCATTCAAGGGATCTTTCCCAGTCCGTAAGGGTTTAGCTCTGGATTTGAGAAAGGCAGGTTCATCCCAATACACTATTGGTATTCCCACCTCCTGGGAAGGGCAAGCTCTACCTAAGAAGCTATCCTGGCACCCACCTCGGCACGGGCACTGTGTGACTGGAAGAACACCGCCTCCTTGTGGCCGCACCTGAAGGGGATGGCTCAGTCACTAAAGGCTTGACACACCCTTCCCTCCTCCCTGGGCGGATGAAGAGGAACCACGACCCTCCCCAAAACAGCTGCCGGCTCACTTCTGACAAGGGTGGTCCTCAGTCCGAGGCAGTGTGGGGTCCTGGGATACGTCAGCGATTATCTGGGTCAGTTCGCTGCAGGGGTGGGGAGGTGAATAATTATGATACTGAGCCTCCCAACACCCTCTCTCCAAAGCCCCGGTCTCATCACTCACTCCACTTCATGCGTGATTTTGTTGACGTAGATGCAGCTGTTGTCTGCCTCCTGCTGGTAATCACAATTTCGGCACTGGGAGAGTGGCAGAAAGGGGGTCATTAAGAGATCCCCAGCAAGCCAGGTGTGGTAGTGCACACCTGGAATCCCAGTACTTGGGAGGCTGAGGCAGGATCGCCGCAAATTCAAGGCTAGTCTGGGCTACATAGACTCCTCAAGCCCAGGCTGAACTACATAGTGCTACATCCTGTCTTGGAAAACAAAAAAACAAACAAAAAAGATCCCCAGCAGGACTGGAAGGGAAGGGAAGGCAGGCTGATCCTGGGAATGCTGCTCGATGGTCTCAAGACGAATCGCCTTGCAAATAGACAACAGTGTGGGGTCACTCGGGGAATAGCCAAGAGGCGAGACAGGGCACGGTGGGAGTGAACAGAGAGTTTGGGTCACATGGGGAAGGGTGGCCATGTAGGGAACTAGTGGACAGGTTGGAGACCACGGGTTCTACCCCGTGGGCTCGCGCTCACCGCGTACAGCAGAATACGGTTCTCCTTGTCCTCTTTAGGGTACAGCATGTTGTTACTGTGAGGAGAAATCACAGGTCACCGGGGAGTCACTCCCTACTTCCTTTCCACACCTATTCCCCTGCCCTTACCATTCCTGGCAGAATCTAATTCCCACGAAGCCCGGCTCGTAGGTCCCGTCTGGTTCCATAGCTACGCAAGGCCCGCCAAGCCTTCTGCGCCTGCTCCCCCGTGCTACAGGTCGCGAGAAGAGTCAAGACTAAAAGGGGTGGGACCGTGCGCTTGAATCGGCTCCCGGAGGTCTAGCGTTTCGGGTGCCTTCGCGCTGAGGTTTGGCTGAATGCTTACTTCATCTTTTGATATCTTATTTGCTTCCATTTTCTGGAACTCGCCTCTCTACTTTGCAAGATGATGGATGCAGTACAAAAGCCGGGAATATTATGTACAACGTAATCCGCAAAGCGCAAATAGAAGCCATTTAAATGGCCCTCAGGCCATTGCACATGCGCCGAGATTACTCACCACCGGCCGAGGTAATTACTGCCAGTCCTTCCTTTCGGCTTCAATCTACTCCCTCCCGCCTTCGCGTTTCTCTGTGCCTATTGCAAGAACCGTAAACCACGAACGGCCTCTTGGGATTGGCTGGATATACCCAAGCATTCAGGAGAGCCCTCTTCCTGACCGAGAAAGGACGACGGCGATTGGCAGGTCCTTCCAGCGGGAGCGCGCAGATTGGGCAAACCCTGGAGCCAGGGGGCGGGGCTGATATCCCAGAAGCTGATATCCCAGGCGGCGGCGGCTGCGGAGCCGGTGTGAGGCGGTGGATCTATGCTGCGGGCCGCAGCCGGGCGTGGCGAGATGGAGGTGACGGGGATGACGGCCCCTACAGTGACCGTTTTCATCAGCAGTTCCCTCAATAGTTTTCGCTCTGAAAAGCGATACAGTCGCAGCCTCACGATCGCTGAGTTCAAGGTGTGGCCGTGGGGGCGGGGTCCCGAGGAGCGGGATAAAGAAAAAATGGGGCTTCCCGAATGCAGGGAGGGGCGTGAGAGCGAGGTGGCTGGGCCACGGATTATCTGAGGTTCCAAGGACTGTAGACCGAGCCTCGTGGGTTGGGGCCAGAAGGATCCTGAGAGTCCAGAGAGTTGAGGTGGGGCCGAGGGAAAATCCGATGCTCCTTAGGGTAGGGGCCAGAGCAGAAGGAGCAGTGTGCAGAAGGAGCAGGGCCTGGCGGGTCGTGAGTGATGGGTCTTTTGGGAAAACTTGGTTGTTGATACAGAGCATGGAGTCGCAGAGCAGAGGATGGGTCCCTGACAGGCTTTCTCCTCATCCTTCGCCCTTCCCGCAGTGTAAACTGGAGTTGGTGGTGGGCAGCCCTGCTTCCTGCATGGAACTGGAACTGTATGGTGCTGATGACAAGTTCTACGGCAAGTTGGATCAGGAGGATGCACTGCTGGGCTCCTACCCCGTAGATGATGGCTGCCGCGTCCATGTGAGGCCACCCTACCTGGGAACCCACACCTCACTCATTCATTTATTCAGCAGTGCTGTTCTTTGCCCTGTGTGATAACCAGTATAGGCTCTACCTTCATGAAAGCTGTTTTCCTAGTCCGGTGTGGTGAGAAGCGGACCCATCACTAGCCTGTGACCTCCTAGAGGGGTGTGGGATGGGAGGGGGAGAGCCTGGGAACTGGGACCTCAGAGAAAAGATGCCTGGCTCTACCTGGGAGTACAAAAAGGCATCTTTGGAGGAAGGAACACTTGAGCTGAGACCTAAAAGATAAGCAGAGAACAACCCAAGGGAAGAGGTAGGAAGGGTATTGCAGGTGGAGGAAAGTACAAGAGGATATTAAAACTATGAGGTGAGCCGTGGTGAGCAGTGAAGCCAGACAGGGAGAAGCCACAACAGAACCTCTGTGTGCACCAGCTCATAGCATTCTTTCTGTCTTCAGACATCTGCCCCTCTTCAGTCTACAAAGCCACATTGCCCCTTAGACATCCTAGGTGAGATCCACCTCAGGGCCCTTGCATACACCATATATATGCTCCACCTGAGTAGTTCTGTTCAACATGTGCCCATATGCCTCGCCCCTTCTTTCCAACCTTTACTTAAACATCACCTGAGTGACACCTTCACCAACCTCTGTAAAATTTTAACCTCATTCCTTTTCCTGTTTTTTGCTATTGTAGGCTTTTGTTCTCTGTCCTCACCGTTATCTGACATACTCTGGATTGTTACCCTTGGTCTAGTTTGTCATCTGTCTCCCTGAATAGTGTGCTAGAAGGGTAGACGGTTTCCTCTATTTCACTGTCATATCTCCAACACAATGGAACAGAGGATACTTGGTGAATCATTGTTAAATGATGAATTGAGTCCATTAAATAAGAGTGGGAACATAGTATAATCATTCCCATTTTGCAAATGAGAAAACTTTTGGGGCTGGGGATTTAACTTAGTGGTTCTGCCGCCTGCCTTGCAAGTGCAAGGGCCAGAGTTCAATCCCCGGTAGCAAAAAAAAAAAAAAGCAAATGAGAAAACTTTTTTCTTTTCTTTTCTTTTTTTTTTTTTTACACTGCTAGGGATTGAACCCAGGGCCTTTGCACAATAGGCAAGCAAGAATTAATTTTGCTAGAATTTTTTTGTTTTTTGGATGGTACTGGGGATTGAACTCAGGGCTTTGCACTGAGCTACATCCCCAGACCCCCTCCCTGCCTTTATTTAGACAGGGTCTCACTAAGTTGCCAAGCAGGACTCTTGAACTTGTGATCCTCTTGCCTTAGCCTCCAAAGTGCTGGGATTACAGGCGTGTATCACGACACCCAGCTTGTCCCTAGAATTTTGAACTTGATCTGTATGACTTCAAGCATCACTATGCTCAAAGAACTGATTTTTTTTTCTCTTTCATTTATTGATTAAATGGAATGTTGATTGCATCTGTATGCTCCCATTTATGAGCCACATCTGAAGTTGGTTTAGCTCTCTTCATTGTGTGAGGCAGAGGCAGCCGAATGATCATAGGACCAAATGTAGAGTCAGTGGAGATGAGGGTCATACGTGAGATCTGGGAGCTAGGAGACTATGCCTGGGTACCTGGCCCGTCAGTGAGGTCTGGGAGGGCTTCCTGGAGCAGTTGCTGTTTGAGTAGAGACCTGAAGAATAGAGAAAGTCAACTGAAGACGAGGACACAGCATGTGCAGACACCCTGAGGCAGGCGGGAGCACAGTGACTACCAGGGGTTATGGCAGAAGGAGGTGGAAACTGGCAAGAACTCCGAGCGATGAGGACGCACATATTCACAGGCTCTCTTAGGTTGTGGGTCAGAGAAACCTGAAGGAAGGAGAAGCAGGGACCAGGGAGGGCTGCTGTGATAGTGCACGTGAGGCAATGAGGTCAGGACTCTGCTGGGCCCAGAACTGAGAGTTGGGGCCTACGTGGCGGCCTCAGCCTAGGGATGTGCGTGGATCAGGCGTGGGTGGTGGGTCTGCAGGTCTCACACAGGTGATGAGGTGCAGACAGGTCTCTGATATCCCAGGCCATTCACAGAAGATTGTCCTGCCCAGGCTATTCAAGGAAGATGATCCTAGAGGTGGAACCTCGGGGGATTTTTGTGTTTTTCTAAAATTCTCTTTCTGTTTATAAATACCACCTACATTCATTGCTTAAAATAACAACTTCAAATTTAGAAAAATCGCTGACAGAAAATAAAAAATTCTTAGTCATCCCAGTCCTAGAGATAAAGGCTGTTTCCCTTTTGCCATGTTAGCCCAGTGGTTAAGGCCAGACACAGGGTGTCGGGTAATCCTTGACCCATTGTCCAAGGAATCTTATTTCTTCCCCTCCACCCTACTGCCCCCACCCTGGTCCAGACTCCACCCTCTCTGCCTGGACATCCCATCAGCCTCCTCCCTGGTCTCCCTGCTCCATCCCTGCCCTCACAGTCTCTGACCAGGGGGAGCCTGTGGACCCTTGAGTCACACGGAGCCATCTCTGCACCTCACTGTTGTCTCCACACTCCTGCAGCAGGGCCAGGATGTGTCTGCCTCTGGACAGTGCACCTCCTGTCCCTCTTATCCTTCAGGCCTTGTCTCAGAGCTCCATCCTTTCAGAAGCCTGCCCTGAACACCTCTCTTGTGTTCTTCAGCTTCTCTGTTGGTTTTTTCCCCTCTAGGCCTTGTCTCACCTGGTGTTTAATAAACAAACTCATTCATTGATGGCTGGTTTGCCTGAGGGCAGGGGTTTTCTATTTTTGCACCATGATCCCAGTGTCCATTGACGGCCCACTGGCACAGGAGGAGATGCTCCTGGTACTGGAGATTGGGACCAGCCTGGGGGGGCCAAAGGGCCTTAGAGGAACCCTGAGAGCTGTGGGCAAGCCTGAGCTCCACTGATGAGGTTCAGTGACGTTAGGACCAGGAGTGATGCTGATGCCAGTATGTGGGGTGTGTTGGGGGTAGACACAGCCTCCAGGGGTTTGGATGGGGGTGAGAAAGGGGAGGTGGTCAGTGTGGTTATCTACGCCTGTCCTCTGCTGAGCTCAGGAGAGCACAGAGGCCTCGATAAAGGTGGGTGGAGGAATGTGTCTTCTAAATCGGGGAGACCTGAGTGGATAGAATGCTCTAGTGTACAGCTGCACCCCAGCATCCCAGGCCTCCCTCGTCAGACCTTGACGCCCCTGCCCCTCACTACAGGTCATTGACCACAGCGGCGCCCGCCTCGGGGAGTATGAGGATGTGTCCAAGGTGGAGAGATACCAGATATCACAAGAAGCCTATGACCAGAGGCAAGGTAGAGAACAGGGTGTGGGAGGGATGGCTTGTGGGGCCCAGAGCTGCTGTGTGTGATGGAGTGGCAGGTGGGACAAGACGGGTGTCACCCGAGTCTGGAGGGACACTGGGGGTAGAGGGTTTTGGAGGATGGAGCAGGGTGGGGTGAGGTTGGCGGTGGGGACAGCCGGGGGATGGGAGAGCCATTGAGACAGACATGGCATGTAGAGATTGGAGGCTGGGAGGTGTGGAGGGTATGGCAGGCAGACGGGGGCTTGGGAAGGCGGAAGGAGGATTGAAGGGAGAGGGTTGGGGGAACAGGACACGATGATGCATGGGGCAGGCAGATGGGATGTGAGGGCAGAACATGGGTACAGACAAGGCGGTGTGCAGTGGGAGCCGGTGTCTGGCTCACATCAGAATGTGGTAGCGAAGATGAGGGGCTTCAGGGCTGGATGAAGGTAAATGGGAGACACACAGGAAGAGAGATGTATAAGAAGATGGGGAGCCTGGCATGGTGGCACACGCCTGTTATCCCAGTACTCGGGAGGCTGAGGCAGGAGGATCACCATGAGTTTGAGGCCAGCTGGGGCTAAATGTTGATTCAAGGCCAGCCTGAAGTACATAGTAACAACTTGTCTGGGGAAAATAAAGAAAACCCAGAAGATGCGGTCATATGAAGAACCAGAGCTGGTCAGCATCTGTTAGTTTCTGGATTGTAGTGAGGCAGAATCCTGGAGAGAGGCAGGGGCTTGGGTGGTGGATGGTCCTTTAGGGTAGCAATTACTCCATCAATATTGGCCCTTTGTAGTTGGATGCAGCACCAAAGATAGGGCCTCACCCCATTCCCCTCCTGACCCACAGACACCGTTCGCTCCTTCATGAAGCGCAGCAAACTCGGCCGGTACAATGAAGAGGAGCGGGCACAGCAAGAGGCCGAGGCTGCCCAGCGCCTCGTTGAGGAGAAGGCCCTAGCCGGTACCATCTCTGTGGGCAGCCGCTGCGAAGTGCGGGCCCCCGGGCAGTCCCCTCGCCGGGGCACCGTCATGTATGTAGGTATGTGGCCCACGGGACGGCAGAGTCCCAAGGCTGAGAGGGACATCATTCCTTCAGGTGGGCTTTGCCAGAGCCCTGGTCCTCAAGGAGATCCCGGTCTCATTATCTGACAGTGACGACTCAGGGTGTTGATGGCAGGGAAGAGGGAAGCACAGAGCTACCACACAACTCATTCTTTAAAGTGCGTAGTTCAAACCAGTGTACATCTGTACTCAGGAAAGTGCACAGTTCATTGGTTTTCAGTATATTCACAGAACTGTAGCATTATCGCCACAGTTTCAGAACACTAAACGCCATAACCATCAATCAGCAGCTACCTCTCAGTTTTTGTTTGTTTGCTTGTTTCTTGAAACAAGGTCTTGCTATGTAGTTCAGGGTCCTTGAACTCGCTGTGTAGGAAGTTGCTCCTGTCTCACCCTTCTAAGTGCTGGCCAGGATGCAAAAAAACTGGACTTATACACTGCTGGTGGGAATGTAGAACATGCAGCTGCTGTAGAAAACAGCATGGCAGTTTCTCAAGAGGCTAAGTACAGGGCTGGGCAAGTGGATCAGAACTAGAGCATTTGCCCACTCCTTGCCAGGGCCTAGGTTCTATTCCCAACATCACACACACAAAAGGTTAAGCATAGACTACACCTGAACCATTGATTCCACTCCCGTGTATAAAGAAATGAAAATGCCCATTTAAAAACTTATTATACAATCTGGCTGGAGATTTAGCTAAGTGGTACCACACCTGCCCGGCAAGGGCCAGGTCCTGAGTTCGATCCCTGGTACTGGAAACAAGTCAAAACAAAACAACAACACAAGCTGGACATGAGGGCTCACAGCGGGCAGAAGTATTGTCCTAAGTTCAAGGCTACCCCAGGCTACACAGTGAGTGCAACGCCAGCCTGAACTACAATGACAGACTCCATCTAAAAACACAAAAACATAAAAAACAAAATTAAAAACCACTTATTATACAAGAATGTTTACGACAACATCATTCATAATAGTCAAAAGAAGTGGAAACAACTTCAATGTCCAAGGACTGATGAATGAAGAAATAAAATGTGGTGGGCCCGTATAACATAATCTCACGCAGCAGTAACGAAGTACTGATATGCGTATGATATGGATGAAGTGTGAAGTGAACACAGCCAGTCACAAAGTGCATATATTGTATGAATCCATTTACAGGAAATATCCAGAATATGAGAATTGCTGGGTGTGCACACACCTGTAATCCTAGCACTTGGGGGCTGAGGAAGGAAGATTATCATGCATTTAAGGCCAGTCTGAACTATAGAGTGAGACTCTGTCTCGAAACAAAACCAACAGAATAGGCAGATCTATTGGGACAGAATATAAATTAGTGGCTGCTTATAGTGGGGAAAATCAATTTCAGAAAGGGGAAGTAGCTAGGCATGTGGCAGCAGAGGGAAAAGGTCCTGGGTAGGAGCGATGGAGTAGCAAGGAGTGGTTTGCAGGACAGGCTTCCTACTCGGGCAGCAATGAATATGAGGCTGGGGTTTCACTGAGATTTCTCCCCTGGGCAGGACTCACAGATTTCAAGCCTGGCTATTGGATTGGCATCCGCTATGATGAACCATTAGGGAAAAACGATGGCAGGTAACAAGCATTTCTGCTGTGGTGTGTGTGTGTGTGTGTGTGTGTGTGTGTGTGTGTACACGCATATGCACAGCTGTGCATGCATGTGTGTGCCTGTGTGCTGCTAGGGTGGCACATGGAGTGAGAGTCCTGATGGGGTCCCCTGATCACTGGCCCCTCTGCTTGCCCTGCAGTGTGAATGGGAAACGCTACTTTGAATGCCAAGCCAAGTACGGCGCCTTTGTCAAGCCATCACTTGTGACAGTGGGAGATTTCCCAGAGGAAGACTATGGCCTGGACGAGATGTGACACCCAAGAAAGGCCTCTCTGTTCCAGCTTCTAACTCAGACGCTTGTTGCCCCTGCCTGTATGTGTGCCTGTGGCCATCTCCTCCTGTCCCCATTTTAATTTTATTCATCTTTCCCCTGCCACTGATTTTTTTGAGCCTCCTACATTAAATTCTTCAAAAACCTGGGAAGTACAGGGAAGACTCAGTAATTTTAGAAGGGGCTGGGGCAGCAGGATCAATGAGGGTGAAATAGCCTGGGCAAAGTAGAGTGGGCAGGGTGAGTATTTGTCCTTTAAATGGTAGTTGGAAGCACATTAGATTGTTCTTTGTCCTTTTCTACTTAACATAAGGTTCTGCTGCTATAACAAAGAGGCCCAAAAATAATACTGGGTTGAACAAGTTGAAAGCTTAATTCTTTTTTTTTTCTTTGAAAGCTTAATTCTTTTTCATGTAAAGTTGCATGCAATCACCAGGAGCCAATATAGTGACTCCAGTGTGTCAGGGGTTAATCACTTACATTTCGTCTTATGTCCCATTTTCTCATGATTCCCACCCAATCTGCTTCAGCCATGGAAAGAAAAGGAGGAGGGATAACCTTGGTTTTTAGGGAAGATGTGCGACTCAAAACTTGCTAGCTGTTTGGCCAGAAGTTTGTCACATGGCCACATGTAGCTGTAAAGGGATCTGGGAAAATGAGGTTTTATTTTGTGCAGCCATGTCCTCTGCCAAATATCAGAAGTTGTGTACTACAGAAGTAGGGGAGAAGGGATGTTGAAGGTAAGCAAGTACTGTAGTCCTGCCACACTCCGTGTGGGTGGGAAAACCTTCCCTGTTCACTTAATATTTTGAAGAAAGAAATTAGACGAGAGTGGCATGTAGCCATTCCTCATAGCATTATAGAGCCTGGCAAAGGACACTACCTTCAAGTAAGTCAGTAAGTGTACGTCCTGTGTATTCTGGGAAGCCTGAGTTGCATCATGTATATGTCTGCATGTACAGTAATAGTCCCTCAGCTCCTAAAACGGATTCTTGGTAGGAAGTCTATATGGGAAACTGCTTAATTGTTGCAGTTACTTAATTACAACTTTTAGAGAAGAGGAAGCAGCACAGCTACATTTAAGAATGAGATGGTATCGTGGTGCATCCCTGTAATTCCAGCACTCAAGAGGCTGAGGTAGGAGAATCAGAAGTTGAAGGACAGCCTGGACTACATAGCAACATCCTGTCTCAAAAGAATGAAATAAACTGCCTGATTGCCGAGAGATTCTCGAGGGAAGTGCTCACAGCCATAGGCAGTCTTTTTTTTTTTTTTTTTTTTTTTTTTTTTTTTTTTTTTTGGTACCGGGGATCGAACTCGGGTCCTTGCGCCTGTGAAGCAGGCAGTGGAACCACTGAGCTAAATCCCTGGCCCTTCCATGTGCAGTCTTAAGTTTTGTATTCTTTCACCCACTACAGAGTACATGAACCTGTTTAGACACACACCCCACACACTCACTCTCAAACACTGCAGACACCAAAATAGCTGCACTCAGGAGGTCCTCTGCAGAATCAGTGCTCACTGACTTACGGGGGAGCCTCACACCCGCACAGACACTTGAGACCGACATCAGATACCCAAAAGGGATAGATGTATAGAATACACCTGTGCACCCCCCACCTATACACGATCAATGAAGTTGTCCGTCTACCAAGAAAAGGAAAAAAAGAAGAGTTCATTTAGAAAAGGATGCTGGGCCAGAATTGTAGCTCAGTGGTGCAGTGCCTACCTTGCAAGTGCTAAGTCCTCAGTTCAATTCTGGTACCAAAAGTAAAATTTAAAAAAAGAAAAGGATGCCAAGGCTTTGGCCCCCTCCATGTCAGAGTTGTCAGAGTGAGGAGGATGAGAGGACGTGTCCCAGGCTTTCCAACCAGCATCTCCTGTGTGAGCGTTTGGGATATATATAAGATCCAATCTTTATTTAGAATTTTTGAGGCAGTTTCACTGTGTAGTTCAGGCTGGCCTGGAATTTGCAGTGATCCTTCTGCCTCAGCCTCCCAAGTGGTAGGACTGTACGGGTGTGTCACCACACCCAGCAAGATGCAAAGTATAAAAACCCAACAACCAAATTCAGCCAGAGACTCTAGCAGAATTAGCTAGTAAATCAGCACTGAGGACCGGATTCTGGTCTCAGAGTGCACTGCCTTAGGGTGAGGCCAAAAGAAGGGGGAAGATGATCCTGTGAGCTGAGCCAGGTGGTGCCACCTGTAATCCCAGTGCTCAGGAGGCTGAGGCAGGAGATTCACTGCAAGTTTGAGGCCAGCCTGAACTACATAGCATGATACTGTCCCTGATGGTGATGATGATGATAGAAAATAAAAACCTACCCTGAAGGGCCAGGGATTTAGCTCAGTGGCACCCTACCTGCCTTGCAAGCACAAGGTCCTGAGTTCCATCCCCAGGACAAAAACGAAACAAAAACACAAAACCTGCCCTGAAAGTGATTACACATTTCATTTCTCACTTTGTATGGGCGCAGACTCATCACTCAGGCAACCCCTATAGATGCAAAGTGTGCTTTGGAACATATTCCTAGGCTGGGCAGCTAGCTCCCTGTTATTTGCTGTTACTAAAAACAAAGACCACAGACTGGTGGGCCCTGTGCTAGTCACCAGATCCATAACCTTAGGGGAAACAGCAGGAGGGGCTGTGAGTTTACTCCCGCCCTAACAACTGTCCATGCTTAATGGGTACCACCCACCTCCCCTCTTTGGTGGGAAGGGTGATGACCACGAATTTACCCCCCACTTTTTGGGTTTTTTTGTTTTGTTTTTTTGAGACAGGGTCTCACTATGTAGTTGAGACTGATCTGGAACTCACTATGTAGCCCAGGCTGGTCTCGATCTCAGTGATCCTCCTGCCTCAGCCTCCTGAGTGCTGGGATTACAGGCGTGGGCCACCACGCCCAGCTTACCCCCCACTTTTTTGGAGACAGGGACTTGCTGTGTAGTTCAAGCTGGCCTTGAATTATGTAGCCCAGGTTGACCTTAAACTCACAGCAATTCTGCCTCAGCCTCCTCAGTGCTGTGGAATACAGGAGTGCACCAGTGCACTGCTAGTTTAACCCTTTAGAGAATAAAATGGACCCTGCTAGATTTTATAATTTTTTTTTTTAACATACCGGGAATCAAACTCAGTCCTTGTGCTTGCGAAACAGGTGGCAGTAGATTTCATAAATCTTGTTTGTTTGTTTTTGGTTTTTTGAGACAGGGTCTCACTATGTAGTTGAGGCTGACCTCGAACTCACTATGTAGCCCAGGTTGGTCTCGAACTCAGCAATCCTCCTGCCTCAGCCTCCCGAGTGCTGGGATTACAGGTGTGTACCACCATGCCCGGCAGATTTCATAAATCTTAAAGCAGTGCAGATGGAAAACAATGACTGTCCAACACTGCTCACATTTTTAAAACTACTTTTTGAGCCTCCCTGTGTATGTTCGGTCAACAATGGGAATACACATGAGTTGGATACAGCCTTTGCTCGAATATTAAGGCAAACAAGTGAACAGATAATTACAGGAACAGTGTTTTGTTGTTTTGGTTATTTTGAGGTAGGGTGTCTCACTAGTATCCCATGCTGGCCTTAAACTCGATCCTCTTTCCTCATGTTTGTGATTGATTGATTGACAAGGTCCCTAAATAGTCCAGGCTGGCCTTGAACTCACACAATCCTCCTGCCTCAGCCTCCCAAGTACTGGGATTGCAGGCATGCTCCACCATGCAGTCAAGTTTTTAATGTTATACCCCATTATTAATAAGGTTGTGATAGTGGACAAGGAGGAATAAAATCAGATGGTGCTGGAGAAGGGATTTGTGGCAGGGGTAACGTTGAAATATGAGTCACTTGAACAAAAAGGGACAGGACTTTCTAGGCCTGAAGTTAATCCCTTTAGTGATTCCTGCTGATCAAAAACCTGACTCCTGTGCTGAACAGACTTTATACTGATTTTTGTGCCAATTACAAACTTGGGATAACTGAAACTGACTCAAGACAGCCCAGATTCAAACACCAGCTCTTCCTGACCAGCCAAGTGACCCAACGTAGGTATTCCTCCCCTCTAAGGTTTCAGCTTTCTTTCTATAAAGTGGGCTGATAGAGCCAGTATGGTGGCATATGCCTGAGGCTTAAGCAGGAGGATCGCTGTGAGTTCAAATCAGCATAAACTACATTGTGAGTTCAGGGCCAGCCTGCCTGAACTACATAGTGAGGTCTTGTCTCAAAAACAAAACAAAACAAACAAAACTGGGGTTGTAGCTCAGTGTTAAATCCCTGGGCTTAATCTCTTGAAAGGATTCCCACAGGTCCCCAGACTCCCAAATACCCTCAAACCCTATCTCCAGCCGTGGTCGCAATACCCAGCTGTCACCAGGGGGCAGCAGCGTACAGGTCAGTCCGTGTACGCAAGCGCAGCACGTTGTGGGTCGCCCAGGCTCTCCAGTGGCTTGAATTTAGCAAGCGAACTTCATTTCCCAGGAATCTGTGCGATACTTCCGCTTTATCGGAGTATAGTCCCACTCCTGGCGGCGCGGGTGGGGTTGGGTGTGGGGCGAGATTTGGCTGTGTACCACACGCTGAGGACGGTCTTGCGCAGGCGCGAGCGGCCCTGCGACACCCGCACGCGCTTGGTGACCTAGAGGTCCCGCTGGAGCTGACTTTAGGCCACAGTGGAATAAAAGAGAAGACCTCGCTTGGCCTTGAGCGTGGCAAATCCGCCTCCCTGCCCTCCTGCTTTCACGCATTTCAGCCAGTCACTTTCCCTGGTTCCTGCTTAGACCTCAAGACGGGTCTAGGCGCAAAACTATTCTGTCTTCAAGAAGAAGGCCTCTTAATACTTTTTTTTTTCTCCTGTTGGTACCTGGCCTTCACGTTGAGCTACATCTCCAGAACCCCCCACCCCCTTTTTAAATAGGATCTTGCTGAATTATTCAAGCTGGGCTCAGATTTGTCATTCTCCGGCCTCAGCTCTCAAAACTAATAATAAGCATTTACCTGTGAGC